TCATCATTTCCAGGCACTGGGAAGAGGGGAGAATGGGGTGTGAATACTGATCTGAAGGGGTTTTCATTTAGGGGTGACTAAACTGTTGTGAAATGAACAATGATGATGGTTGTACCACATCATAAACACAATAAACCACTGGAAGTAAATACTGTAGTACACATTTTATCACAACTTTGAACAGAATGAGGTTGTAGAAGACTTAAATAAGAGTGTTTACATATCCACATAACTTATATACAACAAATGTAAACCAACCAGTACATATACTCTTTATCATAAACAATGTCCACATCTCTGTGACAGGAGTTGGTGACATTAAGAGGAAGGCATGTCCAGAGCTTTGCTCCCTATCTGAGGATGCTCTGACCTCATCATGTGGACTCCAGGAGCCTCCCCCAGTCTCCTGCTTAGTGTTAGGCTTTCCAGATGCTCCCTACAATATGCAGTCTGGGGTTGGATTTTCTGAGGCTGCAGCTTAGAGCCCATACTGGGGCATCAGTAGCCCAAAGACTGAGGCTCTGAGCCTGAGGTTTTAAGTCTCAAGATTGACCGGAAATCCCTGAGTCTGGAGTCTGTGGCCTGAATGAAGAACATGTAGTGTAGGCTCTAGATCATGCAATCTGATGACAGGGGAGAGCTGCAGGAGTCTCAAGGTCAAAAGCTCAAAACAGGAGGCAGATCAGCCAGGACAGTGCATCTGTCCAGGGAGCTGGTGCTGCCATCAGGAAGAGGACCCTGGGGTGGGAGTGAAGGCAGCATGGAACAGCCTGGCACACCTGCATGGAGCTGGCCTGGGATGCCACAGGGCCAGGGCAGTCATGCTTTCTGGACAAAATAAGAAGCTCATATCTTCAGGAGAAACTCATTCACGATCACAACACAGGTGTTCACACTACCAGAAAGTCAAAAATGAGTGGATGCGGGAGCAGGAAAATCATCAGAGCTGCATGTGAGCAGAATAGTTGGCAGATTTGGGGCTTTAAAATGGTCAAGAGAGGAACTGTTGTATTCACAATAAAGCACATCTAAGGTGAGTAACTGTTAAAACCAGAAAAGGGACACAATGGATTCATCACACATACACAGTTGCACGGTTTTGTGTGCATTGTGATTGGCAAAACCAGAGTGAGAGAAGAAAACAAAGAGAGAATGAGAGGAGTGTGAACAAATTTGACCTAGAATTCACAAGATGTTTTCAGGAATGAACAGAAAATCTAGATAAAACAGAAAACATTACAATTAAAATTAATACCGTCCTTTGAAAATATGGGTATAAACTCTCAAAAAGCAAAAAGGCACAAAGAAAAAAGTGAAGAGAATATCGGTGAAATGCAAGATTTGCCAGAGGAGATTACTCACAGAGAAAGAGAGAGAGAGAGAGAAGCAGATACTACAAGGGATTTGTGGAGACACTTGGGAAGCAGAAAGGGAGAGTCATGGAGAACCCAGGGACCGGAGACAAACAAACCCCTCAGCCGTTAATCTGTGACTCGTCAAAAGCGTGATCCGTGTTTTCTTTAGGGACAGTCGAGGACCTCAAAGTGGCCTTTACTAAAGCAGATGACTTCCCGCTCAGGCCTCCAGGAATGCAACCAGTGTAAAAGGAAGACAAAGCTTGACCTTTGCTTTATGAGACTCTGAGTCACGCGGTTCTCATCTGTGCATAGAGGCACGTCCCTCAGTCAGGGCACAGCTATCTAAAAGCTGACACAGCAAGATTTCAGAGCCCTAAATCTACCCAGCTTAGCTCATAGCCCTTGAAGACTTCAGACACCAGGATAAGACATTTTCCAGGATGTCAACTACGCTAAGAAAACTCCAGGCCCCTAAAGTTAAGGTTGCCTTGGTCATCCCGTGCATATCAACAGTCACCCCGTGCATATCAACCTGTCCCTCAAGTCACGGTTCTTCAACCTGACTGAAGAAGCCATGATTGAGATCAGGATCAGAAGGACCCCAGCCCGTAGTTCCCCCATGTGCCAGGATGCCCCAGATCTTCAGACCTGCAGCCCCTGGCCTTTCTCCAGAGGGGGGGAAGCCTCTGCCCTGGCTCCTCCTACTCTCCTTTGTCAGAGGATCCACTTCATGTTTGTCAGTGCCTCAAGTTAACACCCTGAACATTTTCTCTTCTCATAACGGAAGCCCTTGCCCGTACATTCATGCTGTGGTTTTAATTCAATTTCCATCATGACCACAGCAAAGACCCACACCAGCAGGTACCAGGGGATGGATCGGGCAGCCCTGCAAAGGGAAGAGTCCAGAGAGGAAAACAGTCCTGGAATCCAGGGTGTAACTGCAGGGAAATGAGCCCTTAGCGAGCCTAATATATGCAGAGCATGGTACTAAAGGTCCTCCATTACACATGTACTAGACCATGGGATCCCAACACAAAGAGAAGATATTAAAGTGAAAAATAAGAAAAAAATTCCTTATTGCCTCACAGCTTGCGGGTAAAGCTGGTGCCTGTCATCTCATGCTGTCTCCTTATCTCTAAAGCAAGTCCGCACATAGAGCAGTGACAACAGGAACGTAGTTGAACAATGAGGAGACTCTCAGGGAGCACAGCAAGATGAACCATGGTGAGGACCCCGGCCCTCCCCTGTCCTCTGGGGAGACAGGGCTCAGATGGAGTCAGGATCCAGTCAGGCCCAGGTGATGGGGCCTCTGAAACCCTCATGGTTGCCAGAGAAGCAAAGGCCCAGCCCAGCTCTGTGGGGACAGCAGCTGCAGCCTGCGTGGGAACCCTTTCCTCCTACCCTGGATCTCGTCACTGGGCTCTCAACTGCACCTTTTCACCTGGCCTTCATTAAATAATACACCAGAAAGTGCAGGATCTCCACAGTTTTTATGAGCCAGGCTAACAGAAGCCTGGGCTTGGGATGGAGAAACAGATTGATGGTTGGCAGGTCAGAAGGGCAGGGGACAATGGGGGCTTGTGTTCCACCTGCCAGGCTGGGCCGATTTTGAGGCCCTCAGCCCTCTGCCTGCGGGACCAGAGTCACATCCTTCACAGCTCAGTCTGCTTCCAACTCTGCCCTGAGCTGGGCTGAGTTAAGCTGAATGGAACTGAGGAGGGGCTCAGCGGGCGTGTGAGACGTGGCTGCCGCTGGGAGTCGTGCACACTTGCACATGATTTCAGATAAGAAAGAAAATGACCCAGGGAGACATCACGCAAAAGGAATAGCTAACTCACAGCCTAAAGCAGGTACAAACTTGCCTGCAGTGTTCAAACATTTGGGATTTGGTGTAGCTGAAGTTGGGGTAAAGTGTGCCACACCAGGCCTGGTAGATGCCTAGGACAGAAAAATACACTGCCTGTGGTGTTGCCAGCCTGTAAGTCCAGCTCTCTGGGAATCTGAGGCAGGAGCAACTCAAGTTTGAGCCCATAATGGGCAACATGACCAAGTAATGTGACTCTGCCTCAAAGTAAAATTTTAAAAAGGTTCCTTGGGATGGAGCTCACTGAGAAGACACTGGAGCCAATCCCCAGGACCACACACACAGAGACACAGATTGTCTTGATTTCATGTATATTTGCTTCATTTAATGTAGATTTAATATACAGAAAAGAGCTTTAAAAGGCAAGGAGGGGCTGGGGATTTAGCTCAGCGGCAAAAGCGCCTGCCTGGCAAGCGCAAGGTCGTGAGTTCGGTTCCCGGTACCGGAGAAAAAACAAAA